ACTACACCATGATAGATAACAACATGCAACAGACAAGACGGAAGATATACACATATAATATCAGTGCATGTCTATTATCTAACCAGAAAGACCAACCTGTGAATTGGTCAACCTGGTGAATTTACAGGTATTCCTAAGGTTAAAGAAATTTTAACACGTTTGTTCTTTGTCGTTATAAAGGGTTTAAATACAGTAGTCTAGCTTCTGAAAATATGTATATTAGGAATAAATCCATTAACTCATAGCCCATTGCTTTCTATGTTAAGTTCTGCAATTTCAAGCATCTATAGCTATTTTGTCTTAAGTTCAAATAAAGCGACAGTCATTTCATGTCAAATCTATACCTTATCCTGACTTGTTCTAAAAAGTTCTACATAGCTTGAATTGCATATTTAAGCGCACTGGTTCCCGGATATTTGGTAGTACAAGGGAGGTACTGTTTATCTGAGCAACAGGGCAAATATACTCTCCGTTTCAAATTTCATATATTTGTTTTATTATTCAAAAGTAACTTCCTCGAAGGTTCTACAATAATTCCAAGTCCCTAAGCTTTCATTTGATACCAAAATTACCTAACTATTTTACTTATTAACAAAGTTACAGCTATGCGTAGGAACTATTTCGTTTAAAATATATACTACTTTCTTGTATGTTCATTCTGACCGTGCAGAATTAGTGTTTCTATACCATTAGAAAAGTAAAACAACTAAAATACAGAACTCCAAGGAAATTCAAAACGGAAAGTCCCTTAACAAATGGAAAAATCAAAAGCTCAAACACACCAAACGAATGGAAAACAAGTGTCATATTCCTGACTTGGTACAGGCATTTCCTTATGTAGAAAATGGTTGATTAAACCTGGTTTTATAGCTAGCTGAACCTCTCACTTGCATGAAAGTCGCGTAAAATATAATGACATTATTGCTTAGATCTAGGTTTAAGCATAAATTATAAAAAGGCCTTACCACTATCCAGTTTCACTTGCTAGTTTGTTATAACCTGTTTTAATTATACAATTTATCAGTGACGGATAAGATATATAAATAATTATCATACTGACACCGATTTGAGACCCTGAGGACATATTTCAATGTTTGAATATAGAAATAAGGAGATTAAGAATCCACTGCAAAACCATATTTGAAAGCGGTCAACCCAAGCCAAACCTGGAACAGAGGTGTAATAGCCCGTACAGGATGAGAATAAACTGTAAAAAAACAACTAAAGAACCTAGTTAAAACCACAATTGCAACTTAGGAAAAACCCATGTCTTCCCAGACAAATATTGATCAGTTTTAGTTAAGAGGTTGAAATGAAGCATGATCAATGCCAAAATATGAGTATCGACAGGATGTGGGAGGGACCATCTGGGAATATCTGGGTCGCAAACACATGTTTTGTTGTGTATTAAACTATCTACTATTAAATCAATTAAATCTCTATAATAAAGACAATATTCCAGAATATTATTACCTCCACAGTTAATTGATTACTTTAAAGTATAAGTTGATTAAACGACCAATGAGTTTTTATTGATCGTATCTTAATTTTCGAAATCTACAAACAACATCACTATAAAAAATAGGATGTGATATCCCGTTTACCAAATTTTCAAGGCCAAATCTTTTTAACTAGGATAAAATTAAGTGAAGATTTTAAGTAATTTGTGGTTACGAAATCCAAGATTTAATCCAGAAAAAGATCCTGTAGACACAAAACTAAAGCTCTTTCTTTATACAAGTTGTCCGAGTGTTTTACCATGGATTTGCATGGTAAACTGTTGAGAAATCTTCCTAAATTCCACAACTAAGTTTTCGATCACCCATTGTAGCAGGAACTTTCAATTTGAAATATCGTGTTTGTTTAAATATGGTGGTTTAAAAGTTATGTCTTTTCAGGTTAAAAATTAAAGGATAAGAAATTCTCAAGAATAAAAGATTTTAATATTTTTCAAAGAATTTTAAGAACAGTTTTTCTCGATTTTTTGCTTGCACGCGCAGTATTTGCGATATAATTGCATTACATGTTTATATCAGAATAAGGTCCGTTAATTTGCCTAGTGACTTAAATTCAAAAGTGTTGATCTTAGCTGCATATCATTCGTAGCTATTTTTTTCCTAAATCTATCTGGACTATTTGCTTATATCTACGATGAATTGGCATTTTCCAGTAATGTATACAGCCATGGATTAAATAAAAAAAGTATAACAAAAATACCGAACTCTAAGGTAAATTCATAAAGGGGAAGTCCATAAAAATCAAACGTTATCAATCGACGGAACAAGATAAAAACCACTGCCATATTCATGACTTGGTACGGGCGTTTTCCGAAGAAAACGGTGGGTTAAACATGGTTTTATAGCTAGCTTAATCGCTCATTTGTATGACAGTTGTTTATAGTTCCGTTATATTGACAAAATTGGGTGATCAACCCAAACAGACATACTAGGTTAATGTGACAATAATTGGGATCCAGCAGCCAGAACTGTGTAAACATACATCACAACAGACTGAAGAATTCAAACAAATATACAAATTAAACAAAGACGCCAACAAAAATGAGGTTTCTACTTGAACAATTTATTTCTTAAGCAACATTTCAAATCATTTTCAAACAAAACTCCCATAACCTACTGTTCCCATCGATGGCTAATTACCAGAACGTTTTCCTGTGAACTTATAATCAGTAGCGTCCTCGCGGAGAACGTGCAAAACCTTGTAGAGTAAATGTTCTCATTGCTTGCAGGGGGAGGTAATTTTTCGCCACTATTTTTACAACTGCCACAATTTGCTTAATACTGACAGTGCAAATAAGTACTGATTTAAAAGTGCCAGTAAGTACATATTTAAAAGTTCAAATAAGTACAAATTGAAATATGTTAAAAACTTAAATCCCAAAAAAGGAAACACAACTAATTTGGATATAAATGATTTGTAAACAAATTTCTTTTTTCCTAGGTACCATTAAAATACAAACAAAACATAATCTCTTATGCTTTACTTAAATGTGGTTTATATACTAATATTCCTAAAATTATCATTGAAAATGACATCGACAATGTCAATCTAACAGTTGTAACTGTAGGGCATGTACATCTATTTAGAACCATTTTAATTGGTTGCAAAGAAAACAAATTGAAAATTTCATATACATACAAACCGGAAGGTGCTAGACTTTCATCCTTTTTTTAAATTTGATTTGTTATGTTTCATTAAATAATATAGAAATTCAAAAATGTACCTATCACCCGACAAATGAAATTATTTTAATATCTAAATTGAACTGAAAGTTTCACAAATAAATTGGACTTTTGACTGATTTTTCCACTAACAAATTTTTTTATAAAACATGAAACGTTCACTTCTTCATTCTCAGACATATTTTTTTATTTCCGTCTATATTATCATGTAGAAACACTAAATTTTGCTTTAGAAAAAATCGATTAAGCGATTTTTTCTCATATTAAAATAAGGCTTTTATGCATTTCTTTTACCCCAATAATTTTTGTAATTGTGCAGGAGGACTACTTGGGTTTATACAATCATTTCTGTTGCATCGTGATATTTGTGATGAGATTATGTTTGTGGACTGTAAGACTGAGGCCTTACCAGGAAATAAACTATATCGAGATAACAATGGAACTATCTACGACAATTTGTAAGTACAAAACAATATTAAAAATGACAGAATATTTAAATACTATTTATCAATATAAAACTTTAAGTGTTCGTGATAAAGATCAAGAAATAAAAGACGCTTCGGACACATCAAATTTATGAAGTGCCATTTTCATTTTCTAGCACTGAGAGTAGATTCCGCATTGGTAAAAGGCTAGTCCCCCACGTTATCATCAGCTCAGTATTCAGTGCTTTGGTACTAAAATTAATTATAACATAACATACCTTTCTTCTATTCTCCATCGATGAATTAGAAATAATTAAGAAAATAAGGTTCCAATATGAAAATAAGTAGATGTGGTATGATTGCCAATGAGACAACTATCCACCAAAGTTCAAATGAAGTGGAGGTAAGCAATTATAGACAACCGTACGCCCTTCAACAATGAGAAAACCCATACCGTATAGTCGGCTAATAAAGGCTCCGACATGAAATATGAAACAATTCAATTGAGAAAACTAACGGCCTAATTTATAACAAAACAATTTACGAAAAACAAATATGACAAGCAATAAACTAACGACAATCCCTGAACCACAGTCTCCTGAATGTAAGGAGGGGGGGGGGGGGGGGGGGGGGCTAAATATGTTTGTGAGCACTGAACCCCCCTCCCCTAACCTGGGACAGTGGTGTAATAGTAAAACATAATAACGAACTATTCCAACTCCATCAAACAAAGTTTACCTTAGGTGGATTTGACTATTGCTTGGTCAAATATTCGAGTAATTATAAAACATTGACGTTCATCATTTTGAGTTTAAGAATTCCTACTGAAGATTCTTCCAGAAACTTGCTTCGGATGCATGAAATTTAGAAAGTGTTATTTTCATTTTTGTATCACTGGACCGACGCGGCTGCTGGTGGACTGTCAGTACTTGGTGTATATCTAGCTCTGTAGTCAGGATTACGGTACTAAGAATAATCATAGTATTCGTTTCTTAAATTATCCATTGATAAACTATAAATTTAAAGATAAGGTCCCAACTCCTCAGGAAAAGTGTCATAAATCTCTTCACTTTTTTGTGTTTTGGCGTTCAACAAGAAAGTGAATTAAGCATTTTAGACACGCCTAAATGAGTATTATTGTTTTCATTTCTAGTAAAGTTGCTTGCATTAATAAGCTTGAAAAAATACTTAATCCCAATGTGTATTGGGCTTTAAGTTTGTAAGCTTTATGTCTGATTCAAGGTTATAAAGATGCAAAAGCATAGTCAATATATAAGAAAATCTTTACAATCTTGAAGTCAATTAACCAGAAATGAAGATATATCCATAAGCACGGTGTTTAATATCGTTAAATAATAAGTCAGTAGCACGGATATTATGTAAATACATGTTATCTTACTAATGAGAATTGTTTATTACTTTAGTTGTTCATACAGTCAGGCAAAGTGTAGAGACAGTTCTATTGATCTAGAATCAATATGTACTTGTGTTCATCCTATGATTCATACTCCAGTTACTCCTGATTTACCGACAACGTCAGTTACTTCTGATTTACCGACAACGTCAGTTACTCCTGATTTACCGACAACGTCAGTTACTCCTGATTTACCGACAACGTCGTCAACCTTGACTCCAACGCAAGAGTTTATTACAACTTTGGCTACAGCTAATTTTTCTACGCAACCTAAAGTATCACCAACAGTAAAACCAACAATGGCTCTACCAACTCAAAATGTAACAACACAGGATGCGCTAATTTCTTTATTTTGCGAAAATAAGGATATTACTTGTTCAAAAGACCCGGATCCTATGTGTGGATCTGATAACACAACGTACAATAACAGGTAAAAAAATCATAATATTTTTATTAATTCCTTAACAGTTATTTGTTAACACAAATATATATTGCAGCGTAATAATATAGATAGTTAACATCTTTGACTAAGTATATACGAAAAATATCTACTAAATAATAAAACAAAGTAACGAATACATATTTTTAAATTATGAAAATAAGTAAATTTACAATGGTCTGCGTTTTATACTGTCTTTGTGTGTTACGGTAATTATACTGTTAACCTGTTAAATTAAAAATAAGGATATGTGCTATATTTGCCAACTATCCACCAGAGGTCAATAACGTTAACAATATTAAGTACACAGTGTGCTAGTGATCTAATACAGTAAATTGTGTTGGTGACATAAAACGATATAAACGGGGTAATTAAATTGTGCTTAGTGACCTAATAGGATAAATACGGGGTCAAATTCAATATGTGTCGAAAGTGAGCGCATATGGAATTTACAGACCCAACGATTCAACAAATTCATGACTCGTATTAAGTATCGGGAAGTCTATGAAAAGGTATATACTATGGTATTTAGAGCGAGGGGCTTGCCTTACCTTTCATAGACTAACCAAGTAAGCACATATTTACAACTCAAGTAATCTTTTAATTGGTATATTAATGTTTTGTAAATCTACTCACTAGTATCATAGTAAAATATAAGATTGGCCCTCGACTCCAGAATGAAACGATGGTAGCTGCTGGTGTAAGTAATAGACATTTTCGAAAAGTCGTCTAGGTTGTAGTCTTGTAATTGACTGCTCCATAGGCTTACATGCAAAACAGCTGATCTTTGAAAATAAAAAAATAAAAAATGCTACATAGAAAAACAATTTCATGTTCATACCATGTATGTACTAATGTGAAATTTTGATTTGGTCGAAAAAAAAGTGGGTCATGCCACGAAGAATAAAAAGTTACGTAACCCTGAAGTCAAAACAATTTTTTTCTACTTTCTGTTTGCTGTTTTTACTAGGCCGCACCACTTCCAGTAAACATGATATCCTTCCACTTTCTTGGATTGATATCCCCAAAAAGATGCAAGATTTTTTTAAAATCTATATATATGTTTCAATTCAGCATAAACTTTTAATCAAACAGAAAAAATTGAGTCCAGAAAAAAATTCAGAAAAAAATGGACTATTTCGTTTACCTCCATGTTTTGACATGCACCGGAAATTGGAATTGTAATACAAGACTGGTACCTCTACACAGACACTTACACCGACACCGATACCTACACTGACTACAAAAATATAGGGACCGTATCAAAATGTCGAAACATACTGAATGAATGACCTCGTAAAACTTGGTTGCAGATATAATTTATTTATATAATTGTTCATTCGGAATCGGAACTAGAAACACAGAATGCTCTCATTAGTTTTGGATTATTTTAAGTAATGAATTTGTGATATTTCAACTGGTTTTTTTAATTGTTTCCGTTTGTAACCATTCAAACGGAATACAGTGTTGCGGTAGAATATACAATTGGCGAATTGAATTGCTAGAAAGCATTCGGAACATAAATAAAATATCTTATTTCGTATGAAGCAAGAGTATATTAAATCAATGTAAATCGACAGGACTTAGGATTTGTAATGGACGTTTTTTGTGACTCAAGTATAAAATAAAAATGGTTGTAGTGTAAAATTCCACAAAAAATAAAATGCCAAAAGTTAAAAATAGCTGCAAAAAGTAAAAACGAAATGCAAATACTAATAAAAAAAATTACAAAATTACAAAAGAGCTAAAAAAAAATGTAATATAAATGCCTTTGGTCGTTGTACATATTGAGACGACCCTTCTTAAAAAGATTACCTGCATGATTAAGGCGTAGGTGTCGGTATCGAATAATTTTCGAAAACGTTTATTGATAAGGATCAAATGTCTGTTTTTATAGCAGTGTTTTGATATTTTATCAAAGTAACGAGGTTTGGAGATGTTTTCAATCCAAATCTTATATATTGGGACATGGGAATCATTTATAACAGAACACTATTCTAAATGATTAACACATGTTCCTATAGAGATAAGAATTGCCCAGGACTGTTATCAGTTTGATCACAGGTCAGGGATGAAAGTATTGTTGATTTAGTACATACACCATGGAAGAACAGATCAAAAGATAAATTTACAAGTGGACTATAGAATTATTGTCTTAACACCTCAGGAGATGATAACACTGATTAGTGATTAGTGATTAATATATTACAAGATATTTATTTATTTCATTTTGTGCCTGTTACACCCCATTGATAGATGTGGCTTTTGTATTTACAGATTTACAGATATTTGATTTGTTGATAACAAATATTGACACGTGACTAATTAGTTAATAGTCTCACGGTAAACAAGGATATGCCTTCTTTATGTGTCTGGGGTCCTATAGCTTGATCGTGTGAAAAAAAAGAAAAAAAAAAGCTGCAAATGATATATTCAGAACCGATAGAAACTAGAAAATTAACTGTAAGGATATCGTAAGTTAAAGGTAGAAACCAGAACTAAATGTCTGTTTGTGATTTAACATTTTGGTTCAGAGGCGAAATAAAATTAAGGGCCATTAGTATTTTGTCACTTTAGAATTATTCTTATATGGAGAAAAGGCAACGTAAAAAAAGTCATACTGTAAAATTTGATTGTCAAGACATAAAGTTGGTGATAACTACAATTTGAAGAATATAGATTAGAAATAAAAGCAATGACGGGACGTTTCACTTTATGTGGGAAAGGAATTTGTTAACACATTTTGTCTTTTGTCCTTTTAGCACCTCGTTCGGAGATGCTTTTCAATCCAAATCTTATGTTTTGGGACATGGGAATCATTTATTATAGAACACTAAGTACACGGAAAAAGTATGTACTATGAAAATTAGAAGGCAAATTCAAGCAATTTGATTGGACGAGAAGTTGTAAACATGTGCTAAATGATCGGTGGCAGAGGTGATCCAGTATTGTATATAATTGTCTTAATCATGGTAACACTAGAATAGAGATGTGATTTAATGTTCTCAGAGGACACTATTCTGGAAATTGTACATGCAATAGATCACTTACCAAATAAAAACTTAACTAAGAAATAATGATTTTATTGTTTTACTCCCGTACGACTTTACTGGTAAACAAATATTTTCCATAATGCTTTACGGCAAATTATTTTAACTCAAAATTGTGCTAATCTGTCCACTAATAGGTTGTAAATGACAGATGCCGTTTCAACTTTTGGTGGATGTTTGTTGTTGTTGAACAGCTCAGTCCACACAATGGCATTTAGTGTATACCATGTATACGATAAGCAAAAAATAATGAAATAAGAGAAAAATACCACAAGAACATTTGGCGTCCTGAATAATTCAAACAATTTTCCACAAATTTTTAAACGCTGATTTTTTTTTAAATTTAATTTAAAATTTAATACCAGATCCCTCACGTGACAATTGTAATACTTGACCGCCGTTATATTACCTTTTTATTTACGCTGATTTGTCTCGATATACCAAACGACGGTAGTGGTATGGCTTTTCTTGTTGTAACCATTTATTCATTATAATCAACAGTTAATTTGCAACTGTTTAATAAGATGTTAAACAATAATGCTTGTTTGGTCTAGAATAAAATACATCATCTGTATGACAAAGAAACGTGCTAATAAAGTTTCGTTTGATTTCACATAACTGATCTTGTTAATACTAGTCATGTTTACAATAATTCTTATCAATATCAGTACCTCAATTAATTGAATGTTGCAAAGAAATAATTACAAAAAATAATAAGTTAAGTAATAGTTATTCAATTTTTTAATGATATTAACGTTAAATATAATAATTGTTTTCTGAATGACTTTTAAAGACAAGAAAATAATGTTTTGTTTTAAAAAAAAAACAGTATCACACAAGAACATGAAAAGGGTATTTTTAAGAGTTCTTGCAGAATTTAGGAATGTTCATTTTTTGTCCTTTGAGAATGGCTGAACGGACATTACACCATACAACTTTTTGACGATTGCGTACAACAGATAAAATAGATAATAAGCTTTCAAATAAAATATCATATAACCATTTATTAGGTGGGTGCTTTAAGATTATGGCTTAAAAGTTGATATAGTTCGTCAACGATTTCGGTTCTTATACATCCTTAGGTTTTAAAGTTCGTCTTTGAGCGTTCCTGATGAAGGTAAATCTGGAAAAGGGCTACGGACGCATGAAGTTTATAATGCGTTGTTTTAAATATTTACAGCACTGGGTCGATTATCCGTTTATATATTTATAAATTATTACGAACCTAAGTTTTTTAACTCCCTAAGGCAAAATTGACCTTCGATGAATTTCGCTATAATTTTATGTCCTTTTTGGTAATATGCATCTTCGACTGTTTAGATTCTTATACATCGTTGGGTTTCAAATATTCGTCTTAGAGCATTCCTGGCAAATCCAAAAAAGCAATTCGGACGCATGAAATTCAAAAACTGTTTTTTTTTTTTATCATTTTTTTACCCAGAGCTCACGACCGCGAAGTTCAACTTACGAAATTATAATAAATAGACAAAACACTCTAGATGACCACATAATGGAACAATCTATAGGACATTTCAACTTGTGTAAATAAGAAATCAATAGTTTATGAATTTTGTGCATTCGGGACGCTTCTCTGGATTTACCTTTGTCAGGAATGCGCTTACCTAATCATTTGAAAGCCAGGAGTATATCAATACGTAGAAACGTTATTAGCTATTTGTCCAAAAGGGGCACACAATTAATAACAAAATTTATCTGAACGAGTGAAAAAAATTCTTAGTGCCTTAATAATTTTTTTATTTATCAAAGGGGAATTTAAGAAAAGTTTGTTTTAAATCATATGCATGCCATGTGAAAAAAAACAACAACATAGGACTACCTAGGATCCGATTTAAAAAAAAAGTGTAATTAAGCAAACAGAACAGCATTAAAATGTATAAATGATACAAAGACAGTAACAACCATAACTGTTACTTTGTATCAGGTACTTGTATGTTGTAAAAAGGTTCTCGTAACGAGTTCCATATTATAAATTAACTGTATACTTACAAAATTAGAACTTTCATGAGTTCATTTTGTTATCATTTTCATGATTTCATTATATCTAATACATAATTATTCTAATCAAAAGTGTAACTATATAAATTGTTTTTATATTTCATTTTTTTTTACAGATGCGAGTTCAACAAGGTTAAGTGTAACAATTCGAATCTTTCGATTGTTCGGGAAGGAGATTGTTGACATAAATGTTATCCACGAGGTCATAACCTTTTGCATATACTTAATAAAAAAAATAACATTAAACGAGAGAATTATGTTTCACTTACTTATCTAAATTCAAAAGAAACTGGTGATAATGCCATTCGTCTTAGTGTACTTGTTGTATTGAATACGTGTCCAGCATACAAAATGAGTAGTCCTTGAAATTTTGTGAAAAAGTGACACATGAAGTTAGTTTACGTATACATTTATGTATAAATAGATCACTAGACTATAAATAGTCTGAAATGACTAATTTATAGTTCTAACTTTGCATATTCAAACCGCATCTCAATTTGAAAAACCTACAACTATAAATAGTATAAAAATAAGAAGATGTTATATGATTGCCAATGAGACAACTATCCACCAGAGTTCAAATGGAGTAAATGGAAACAATAATAGGCAATCGTACGGCCTTCAACAATACGAAAAAAAACATACCGTATTGTCGGCTATAAAAAGCCCCGACATGAAAAATGTTAAACAATTCAAGCAGGAAAACTAGCGGACAAAAGGGAGCATGCAATTGGTGCCCATAGGAATGCATTCAATCTGTCGACAAACATTCTTGCTGAAACGTATATAAATGTTGTCAAGAAGAAAATTTAAAGCTCTAATCATCTCATCACAGGTCCAGTAAGTATGTCTAGCATATTTCCCTTTTTCATTACAAAAGAAGGCTTTATATAAACTGCAGCAAATAAATCTGCAACCAGATTTTTCAGAGGAGCATTTGATTAAATGAGAGAACTTCTGTTTGATAAGATTGTGTGGTAGTTTAATGTATATAGTCGGAAAATTATAACTGTATCAGACATCAAAAGCACGTAATTTATTCAAATCATCCAAAGAGTTATTTTCATATGCTTTATTACAAAAATTCATAAATAGTTCTTTAATAGACGTATGGTAATTAAGGTTAACACCACAGAAAGATAAGTCGTAGAACACTTCATCGAAGCTGAGATGAAACGAAATTTGAACGGGTTTTGTGTAGTTTAGGAAACCAATACATAGAAGGAACTTTCAAATTTTCAGAGGAAGTCTTAAGCTGATCTGTGGTAGTGATATGATTATTTACTATTTGACTCTCTGTAAAGCGCACGGCCTAGAATGTAGATGAATGTATAATTTCATTTTTAAGAACTTTCCGTGTAGTATTTACGTCATACCACTGCCACATTGTTGGCTGCTTTGTCGGACGTTACGAACACAAAACGCTTTGCGAGTACTTGAATATTTTTTTTTATCCTAGAAATTAGGTGTATTACTTACTCTATTTTTATTTCTAAATTATTTTCGAAATGTGATATGCGAATATCAACAACATTCAGACATTTATTTAAATAGGAATCAAGTGAATTTTTGTCAGATTTCTCCCGTTTACACCAATCTTTCCAATCGGACGAAAGAGCATCTTTAACGACTAATGACACTCTTTCCAACTTATTTTACGGTGGACGATATTTTGGTCCTTTTTCAGAAAGTTTATAACCTTTCGGTCTTGAACGATATTGAACTCCCTTGTTATTAAATGGCCCTAGGGATGACATCTAAACATCGATGTTTCACAGTGTTTGCATAAGTCTGCGTGCTAGGAAACATGTAATTTAGTTGTAGTCATTAATATCAATTTTCAGTAGTAAATCAAAGTAAGAAAAGAGGATGTTGCTCCAATCTATGCTTATGAACTTTTTTTTATCGCAAGTGCCAATATATTTCTCGCTGTGTTGAAGATCTAGACCCATTGGTGGCCTTCGGCTGTTTTCTGCTCTTTGGTCGGGTTGTTGTCTCTTTGACACATTCCCCATTTCCATTCTTAATTTTATTACATGAAAAGATGAAGGTTTATGTACCTTACTGATCCTTAGTTTTGCAACTACCGTGTTTTAATGCTCCAACAGAGTTATCAGATTTGCATAAGATTTACGGTTACCATCATGAATTGGTGTATCGGTCACTCAACTCACTAGCGACATGTTTTCACGTTTTTTTTATCTTTAGATACTAGACTAATCGTCTGATCAGTGATACATGCATAGCAGGACCGCTCAACTTTGCCACCAAACCCGTTTTCGTTGATGTTATTTCCTCATTTATTTTGCTTTTTCTTAATTCGTTTGGTAGACGTATAATTATTTAGTCTTCCATATATAAATATTTATTTGTATGTGCGTGTGTGGGAGGGATGTTAGCCGTTATACGTCCTTTTGGAGTTCATGCGATTCCCTCAGTTTGTGTAAAACAACACCAAAAGAATAACTAGTAAACAGCAGTAAACAACTGTGGCATAAAATTCACGTTATCCTACACATTTCCAGCAGAATTTGGATTTAGATATCCATTAAGCTTTATCATAATTATTTCCCGGCTTGTAACACAAGAAATTAATAATTAACTTACTAAAGGTGCAGTAGTGTGCCGGTGTTCAAATCTCATAAATATGAAGACCAATGATGTAACAAACTAAAACTGAGTGAATCAAATGAACTTTAAAAGGACCTAGACCGGCTAACAACACCCTCAGCCCCACCCACACGCATTAGCCTTATCAACTATTTTTATTTATTTTTTTCTTTATTTCAGCATGTTCAGTCAATGTTTTGCCAAAAACATTTTTGTAATTGCGTAAATGTTTAACTGTTATCTGAAGAAAATATAGCTTACAAAAAAATTGGACCACCACCCTCACTGTTCATAATGGGAGACTACTGAAATTTACTCCAAACTAGGTTTGAGTCCTGAAATAGTCAAGTCTGTGGTGTACGGGAGGCAACTATTGATATTTATTTCATCATAGAACTAGGGAACATATCTTTTTTTTTAAAGAATAAAACTGTCGCACGGGAACGCACACAGGAAAATAATTAAAGAAAATTCCCAAGTTTTGAAAACTTTTCTCCTAAACATTTAAACTATGTTGGAGAAAAATTCAAGAATTGTTTTAATGTCCCTGGTAAATGCATGCCAACTTGAAAGATGAATTTTAGAGTCAAATCTTACCTCAATGATATGTATTTATGAAATTTCATTGCCTATAAATTATACATTTTCCATTTTAAATTAAAGTCCTTGTCACAACCGTATGCCCGTACTCAAAAGACAGTGATAAACGAACTAGTGCTGAGAAAGCTAAACAATCTGGATTAAGTCTGTCACTGTTAAAAAATTTTTTCTAAAATATAAGTATTCCCCTTTTGCCGCCAAGAACTACCAATAAAGAATACACACATTTAAATAAATATATATACAACGTCTATATGATGGTCTAAAAACTTTCTAACGCGAGCGTCATATTGTTATGAAAACGATATTGTACACAAAAACAAATCAATTATACGTCTACAAAGTGTAAAACAACACCAAAAGTATTAAATGATAAATACATGTACAAAAATTTATAAAGTTTTCGGATAACAAATATTCTTTATCTTTAAACGCATAAAGAACTCATATTGTTTTAAAACATTTTGAAAAAGAACTGATAATGACGAATGCCGTTTGCTATCCATATATTTGTCAAAACAATTTCATTTCATCTTTTTCTCATATTTATCGTCATAAATTCAGTTTTTGGTTTATTATATAATTGTTCTTAACAGTCAGTTGTATGCTGTTTTATGGTATTCTGAACGAATGACCATTATTGAAATCTTGAATTTGATATATCGAATCATTGGAGTAATTTCATCTTACTTCATAGATAATAAAGAAAATTAAATTGGCTGGCGAAAAATATCATTTCATATTTATATTGAATTCATTGTTCACGTTATAAAGCCCGCAGGACTGAATTAATGTACAAAGTTTTAGTGAAACCGCTATACGCATAGTTGAACTCATTAATGAGATGAGGAGTACACTGAAGGCTTCCAAAAGTCCTTAAATATTCGGAATCTCCGTAGAAGCTTCTCTGTATATCGTACCGCCAAACAAATCACAACCACAGCACAGACTTAAAACCGCAGTATGTGGAACACGAGATACAAATGCAATGTTCGATATATTCGTAAAGGAATGTAGAACTCAACCAATCAGATAATATATACATTAAAACCTAACAGATTCCCGCAGAAATGGCACAAGTCTAAAATATCATAATCCCCAGAAGTACCTTACGAACAACTAAGCTAGCAACATGAGTAATGTGGGTTATGTGGGATTGCCTCTGTTCAATATATAGAATAATACAACAAACCGTTTTGAAGGCAAATGTTTCGAATATATAAATACAATCAATTTGACGGCACAGGGACATTTTATTTTATATTTACACATACAAGGTCATGAAATGGCATTATTGAACACATTTACAGTTAAAATTAACCCCACTTTTCGGAATTTGGATATGAATATCGAACTGCAGTCTGATATCATTGACCATAAATTGCAATACATGTGTTCAAAAAAGGAGTTGAAAGATACCAAAGGGACATTTTAACTGATATGTTGAAAATAAACTGACAGCGCCATGGATTTAAAAGAAAAAGATAAACAGACAAGCAACAATACACAAAATACAACATAGAAAACTAAGACTGAGCAACACGAAGCCCAACAAAAACGGGGGCGGGGGGGGGGGGGGGGGGGGGGGATATAAGGTGCTCCGGAAGGGTATGCAGGTCCTGCTCCACATGTGGCAACAGTCGTGTTGCTCATGTAAATACAAACCCGGTGACAAGTCCAAATCGGCAGGTCACACTCGGGGAAAAGGAGACGGGATTGTAGTTACCACAATTGGAACATATCCGTCGGTGGCCGAGTGGTCTAAGTAGTCGTACTACTGTATCACTAGCCTTTCAACACTGAGATTGTGAGTTCGAATCCCGCAAGTGGCAGGTGCGCTCGACTCCAATCTTAATTGACTAGGATTGTCAGTGTTCCTACCGAAGGTCGGTGGTTGGCTTCCTCCACCAATAAAAACTTACCGCCACGAAATAGAACAATAGTGTTGAAAGTGGCATTAAACATCAAATAATCAATCAATCAACTTCACCATTTGGATCTCTTGCTTTAATAGCTTCCTTGTGAGCAGCAACCATCTTTTAAGGAAATCATGGTAGGAAACACAAGCCCTGGAATATCCTATCAACTGGGAGACATATACTCCGTATGCAGGCTCTGATGGAATGTTGCTACATATAAATGGAAATTTCACAATTGGGAAGCTGAAATCATCTCTTTTGTCGTACAGTTTTGTTTTTAACCCACCTTCATTATCAATTTCTAGATGGAAGTCCAGATATGAGGCAGACCTAACTGTATCTGTTGTATCCTTTATATTAAGTTCGGTGGGATAGATGCGTTCAACATAGTCACCAAATTTTTAATCATTTTGAGAGAACATCATCTACATAGCGGAAAGTAAAGCTAACACAGTATATAAGATGCCTATATATTTCAATTGAGAAGTGTTATCACTTTTGTGGTTAAAAGAACGACTGATGCCATTACTATGTCTTTTTGTTTTCAAATATGTAAAACGTTTTGTGGTTGGCATCGTCAAATGGGATTGATAATGAAAATAAAATAAATCGATCGTATGATAAGATCGTACGATCCCAATTTCAAGGCGCATGACACGTTTCTCTGAAACATCTTTAAAAAAATTATTCCTAAATTTTAAATTACAACTCAAAAGTATACATTTGGTGCTGTAAAAATCAACGGCGAATCTAATAACTCAATTGACTGTTTATACTAACTCAAATTGCAGACAATGACTTAACCTGCAACATAATTCATTGTTATTATAGTTTATGATTTGAAATAAAATGAAAAAAAAACTGTTAAATGTACACTTTTACCGCTCCTTAGTTCGTGCTTAAAGAAAAAGAAACAAAATTAAAATAAAAATAAAAACGTTTAGACCTTGTTATTTCTAAATTAAACATGGATTGTACATGTAAAATTAATTAATTATAGGGCAGACATTCCCTACCAGCTCAATATAATCTGGTAACTAGAAATTTGCCAAAGCTATAATACACGATTTCGGTAAATTAAAGCTTTCAAACGACTTTAATATCACGTTTATAAAAATGAGGTTCACAAAAGGTTTGTATATTTCTAAAATTGATTTAAAATAAACCGCAACAATGTCAAAACAACCGTCTGAAAATGTTTTTGAAAAGACAAATATATGAAAAACATTTTATGTCTTTAACATAACATATCAAACAAATCACGTGATCAAAACATAAACCCCTCTTGTTATGCTGATATTGAAAGCTATGTTCTGGTTGACCCTGAATTTGTTTACTTGTATCTTATCACTTTTCGAACTAACATCATGGAGATTCTACATGCATTTATATCTTTAGGTAAGTGTATTTAAATTTAATGAGATGTACAAATACGAATAATTGCAATAAGGTTCCAGTTGAGGTGAATGCACGTGCATTAGGGGACATACAAATACATTTGAAGTTCTTTTGATAATTTGTGCAAACAGTGTAGCTTTGAAGAACATTGTTAAAGAAAATGCAGATATTGATTTGAAAAGATCTAGCAAAATCTAATGATTTACTTTAAGGAGCAAAGAGAACCATTTGATATAATAATAATAATAATAATAATAATAATAATAATAATCGGAGATATTCTGTTTTCAATATATCAAAATTTTGTGCTTTGTGATCAAGATTCTTTTTGATATTTAATTAGCCAATGACATGGCGTTATGTTCATTTTAATGAACAAAACAAATTATCTGGAGATTATTACATTATAAAAAAAAAGAAATTGCACTTTATAAAGTTGTTGCGTCCGAAGCGACTTCCTAAACAGATGAAAAGCTGTACAATCAAGAGGGGCATAACAGATCAACTAAATCAATCTAAGGTCAACTCTGCGCGAGGGAACTGGAGCCTTAGTTTATGTTAATAAATTTGCAATTCATCAACGGAGAATTTAATTGCAAAAGTAACATAATACAGGTCTAATTTTCCATTGTCAAAGTAGAAATATTCACTCCATCCTTTCACCGCAGTTTTCTTACATATTGGCGTATTGCACATAACAGTTTTGAACGAGCAATATGCAATAAGACAGTTGCAATATACATGAAGATGCGCATATTTACAGCCAAAATGTAGATAATGGGCTATGCTTTCAAGCAGTCTTTCCCGAAATTTGATTTGTCAAATTGGTGCTGTTTTCTGATATGAATCGCCTACTGCTTAGTTCTCTAAATTTGCGATCTCTTTTAGCTTTCATTGTCCTATCGAAATTCATAATTTCGCTAATTTGCTTTTCGCGTTGATGATATTTTCTTATCATCATAAAAAGGTCTTATATTTCTTTTTTCAAAACCTATCAAGATATTTTTTTTTATTGTGCAGGACTACTTGGGTTTATACAATCATTTCTTTTGCATCATGATATTTGTGAAGAAATCATGTATGTGGACTGTAAGAGAGAGGCTTTACCCGGAAATAGACTATATCGAGATAACAATGGAAACATTTACGAAAATTTGTAAGTACATTACAAAATATATAAACGACACAGTATTGTGAACTAAAAGGTGTACGTTATAATTAGTAACTTAATAAAGAATCTGTAATTTTGATATATTAAACCAGTCAAAGTATATGAGCTTCATTAGTGACCCTGGTTACATAATTCTACACTCAGAGTTTCCGACCACAATTAAAAATTATTGTAAATGATGTCATCCAAATAAAATTGAATGACTTTTCATGGTTATAAAGATATTGAAACACATTAGTTACATTGAAACTATTGTTTCAGTTAAATTATTTTTCTGAGAAACGACTTTTATCTATCATTCTAGTTGCACATACACTCAAGCCAAGTGTAAAGACAGTTCTATTGATTTAGAAACAGTGTGTACCTGTGAGCATCCTACCATTAATACTCAAGTTACCTTGAAACCTTTGACAACACAAACTACAGTACAACCAATGGTAAAATCTACTACACACTCGACCAAAGCATCATCAACATTAATTAACGTGACAAGTGGAAAATCTACAACTGTTCCATCAAGTGAACCTGTATCAACACAGAACACTTTGGTATCAGCGTTTTGCAAAAATAAGGATTTGGTTTCTTGTCCATCGAACGTGGCAGTTGTATGTGGGTCAGATAACAAAAGTTACAACAGGTAATGTTATAATGCTTTAAGTTTTTGTTTTATTTTGCATTTTGTGTTGTTGAATGCTAACACATTATGGAAGTTGTGTCAAGTATTGCCATTAATTTCTAAAAAATAAATTAAAAAGACGATGTTCATATCACATAGCTTTAAAAAATATCAACGTTTACTTTGGTAAGAATAGTTCTGTTTAATGATATTAAAAAAATACATGTTTAGTAATACCTTTACATTTTAAAGACCTGTTTATTAGAAATTAATTTTCGGTATTGTTAAAAAGCTTTACGATAGAACGTGAGATGTGCATGGATAGTTTTCTGATTTGTTTCATTATTATTAATTTTCACTTTTTGTCATAGTTTAAATATATTGTGTAAAGTATAACATATTAAATTATTTAGTGAAAATGCGTATGAAATAATTATCTCAAGCTGTCGACAATAATGGTCAATGTATAGAACTCTACATTTCATACCTTGGATAGCAAGTTTTTATTTGTTTGCGAGGTGAGAATGAAACTCTAATCATGGTTTTTTTTTCTCTGCATATTTGAAACTATGATTCTTGTCTTTTTTACATGTCAAATCGAGCCAATTTAGTTCGTTAAAAACCAAAAAATCATATATAAAAGATACGTCAAGTTTTGAGAATATAAAAGCACAAGGAAACTTTTTTATTACCTACAAATGTTCGATGAGAAAATAAAATATGCCATATGCTTAACATTCGATTGAATATTCGAGGCTTCAAACAGGACATTAGACAATATTTAACCAAGCGATTTTGAAGAGATTATAATACGCAAATGAATATATTCTAGTGAACAATTAATTAAGTTTTAACAAAAAATTGTATAATGAAAACTTGGGCGTACTTATTTGGATGTCAGCCTGTTGTTATCATATCTAACAATGCACGAGAAAATTTCACAACACTTTCAACACAAAATGGCAATGATTTCATGTTAAGTAACGACGGCTGAAAGCAGAATGATATACTCCGGACCCGTAGATGAAACACACGAGCTGTTTATAATAGATTACATTTCGTATTCATCTACGAATTTTCACACAATTAAATCCTATTCCTTTACACGATAATAAACAAGGGAACAAACAAAAACATATCAAAAACAAAGGTATTCTACACAGATATATAACCCACTGACACAGTGTTATAGCTGCATAGAATAAGCTCATAACCAAGAAGTGTTTATTAGGAGTATCAGTAGCAAGATTGACTGAACAAAAATCTTTTCGAAGATTTCAGAAAATGTCTCCTAAAGGAGAATATAAAATAACCAATACTTGACATGCTTGAAGTAATTGAAGTTTTGTTGTCAATCATAAAATACAAAATGGAAAAATGAGCTTAGATCACGACCAAAACACGAGAACTACCACTGTATAAATGGTAACTAAGTTCCTCCGTTTATAAAAAAACACAAACAAAATACTGAAACATAACCCCGACTGTAGCAACATATTTGATCAAAAACCCACGGTAGCTTACAAGAGATATATCAGATATAAGAACTTTCATCAAAGCATTGATAATTACATCACTTTTGACTTTTCACAATGTATTAATAACATACAGAATAAAACACAAAAGCAAAAACAAAACACGCCAATATACAACTTTCAAGTCGATACCGGACTCGGGGATTTTTCGAAACGAAACATAATCATAAAGTGGTTGCTACCTAAAATTACCACTAAAAAATAGTTTGTGCAGCTACTGATTCGTGCTAAGAAATGACAAAAAAAAACTGAATAAGTACAATTTGAAAATAATGTAAATAAACAAACAAACAACAACACAATGAATTTATGAAAATTGACAGACATTTCTGATGATGTTTATCGGATGCTTTTATTTTGTATGCATTTTTCTCGTAGCGCTATCCACATTAACATAGGCCTTATGTATGCACACAATTTCATGATTTCCCTATTTTATTCTGCAACGTAATTCATTAACTGGCTAACGTTTATTTAAAGACCGGATTTTAGTATCTTTTACTTTTTTACAGATGTGAGCTCGCCAAGGCTCAGTGCGACAACCAAAATCTTTCGATTGCTCGGGAAGGAGCATGTTAATGTATGTGTGATATTCATGAATGGTTTTTAAGCAAATATAAATTTATTGTCTAATTGGTGTTAAATATGATGTTCCGTATTTTGAATGAAGAAAGTAAACGTCTATTTACAAAATAAAGCAATCACTACTAACTAGTCAGAACAATCTGAATTGAATTTTTTATTCAATGTGTTTGCTTATTTTGAACTACATATTGAAATGTATTTTCATATCCTTGTTTTGTAAACATTATTTTAAAAAAGACGATGTATTGGATAAATCTTAATAACAATTTATGTAAGATATAAATGACAAAAATGAAACAACACCTTATTCATTTCATGCGTCCGAAGCGACAGGTTTGTTTTTATTAGCTTTGTAGCTAATACTGATATCATGAGCAATAAACTACAAACTTCAAAAACGTAGAAATATTAGAAAGGTGTGAAATAGAATCATTTAAAAAAGTGAGCTCATTTCATTTTCTGTGTAGATTAACATTAGCTGTCACATTCATTTTCTCCCATGTGCCTCGAATTCTCAACTCTGATTTATAACATACTAAATCGTATATCTAAAATACAAAAAGTCAAAAAGGAACAATTGCCAATGCATTGACTCTACAATACACCAGCATTTGCACGTATTTTAGACTAGATCCTATATAATTAACAATGGATATCACCCCCGGTCAATAACCCGATATGAATCTTTATATAAATATAAATAGACAATCACGTGCAATCGTATATATAATGACAATTTTAACTAGGTCAGTTTGATTTTCATGTCATAGATTACTGAAGTATATCAATCATCGTTTTAAATGTATAAGAAAGGTGTTTTGTTGCCGATACAGTCAACGAAATGGATCTTCCCGGTGACTCTTTTGTTTCACCTTTCAATGTTGACGTTCTTTTTTTATTAATGAATAATCATGTTAGGACTTTACGCAACCCATGTTCTCCTAAAAGTAAAATTAAAGGTCGCATGGTTACGGATTCAAATGAGGCCGAATTATTGACTTGCGAGCTACTAATACATATCAGCGATGCTAATGTCCCTGTTAGTATGTTATACCTTCAAAAATAGAATAAAAATGGAAATCTTCGTTGTGCAGCCAAAAGCGACTTATAAACTTTTTAATTAATATTGGTTTAACTATATATTTATCCGCTATTGACGTTACAAACCTTGCTTTTTTGTAATAAAAAAACACATACAAAAAACAATACAATACTGGGAAACAGTTTTATATTAGAAATGTGTATGAACCATGCGGGGTTTGTTTCTAGTAATTGCATTCTAATGTTTTAAGTTACTTTTATCTTGATAATGTTAATCTACTTACCAGTATGTAAAGCAGAAATTAAACATTGCATATTCTATATTGAAATATTGATAAATATCAAAATATTTAAACGTTGAACCAACTCGGAAGGGGTATTAAAATCGTACATGTAAGTCGAACAAAGACAAACAAGAATGCAAAAAACAACAGTCCACAAAAAAACCCCACTTGAAACTGAAACACGAACACCGCCATAATACAGAGATGAACACATTCTCAATATTTTCTCGGCATATCAATTTTAAAGGCTTTTAATAGATACCAAAGGTACATTCAAACTCACAAGTCGAAACGAATTGACAATACCATGGCAAAAAAAAAATAGAAAAACGACAAATAGACAAACAACAGTATGCAAATGATAACATAGAAACCTACAGACTGAACACCACGAACCCCAACAAAAATCGGGGGTGATCTCAGGTGCTCTGGAAGGGTAAGCCGATCCTGCTTATTCGGTAGGCCATATTCTACGAAAAGAGGATGCGATTGTGGTTACGACAATTGGAACATATCCGTAATCTTCTGTGAAACAGATTTTAAATAAAGGTGATGGCGTCCGTACATTTTCGAAGGGATAATTTGACTTCATCACTTGGAACTCTTTGTTTAGTAGCTTCCGTGCAATCAGCAGTTTTCTATCAAGGAAATCATGATCGGAAATGCAAGCTCTAGAATATAGCATCAACTAGGAGATATAAACTTTCTATGCAGATTCTGCTTGAATGTTACTACATAGAAATGGGAATTCCACAATCAGGAAGTTGAAATCATCTTTTTTGTCGTATAGTTTCGTCCTCAACCGATCCTCTTTGTCAATTTCAAGCTGTAAATATGATATGATATGAGACACACTTAACTGTTTCTGTTGTATCTTTTAATTTTAAGTTCGATGGGATACATGCGATCACCACAGTCACCAAACAGTGATTTATTTAGTGAGAGGACATCATCTCTATATAGCATAACTTTAGGAAAAAGGATAATGCTAGCTTTTTTCATTCTTCCAAAAAAACTCCTGTGTGCTAACTGCCTCCTAATAATCAAGGAACAAGTCGACAAGAAGAGATGATTTCCATGGGAATGCCAATTGTTTGCTAAATAACATTTCCTCTAAACGTAACAAATATCCTGTTAATCTCCTGATCATGTCAGTTTCAGGAAAAGTGATTGAATCAGAGTGGATTTTTACAAATTACAATCTATCCCTCTCTGACACAAGACTCTTGATTCTAGGTTGGCCATTTTTTATGAAACAAAGCAGTTCTTTCAATATGTCTTTTCGCCCTGCTTTGATTGTTGACGATACTTATGTTTTTAATTTAGAAAGAGGTTTCTTGGAGCACTTAGATGACCCAGCAATATAACGTCGTTTGTAAGGACACTTATGTAATTTCGGTAGCAAATACATTATGACAAAATCCAGTTCTTCGTCTTCAGTCGAAATTCCAAAGGAACATAAATTCTGTGTCATTTGGTCACTGTTGGAGAGTTGTTTTATTGGCAATCATATCATATAATCTTATTTTTATATAGAACGGACCTATAATTATTCAGGATTTCATCCTTGATAAGCGTCGCTGGGTATATGTTTCAAAGTAAATTGTCAATACCTAATTCCTTTATCAAGCAGTTTTTGTAATGTGATTTACACACAAAATCGTTGTTGTTTGGGCGTTATCTGAGGAGACAATAACATATTTGTCATGGAGGCATGCTTATCAACATTTGGGTCTACATGATTGATAAAGCATGTGTATTTATAGACCCATTTAGTTTTTTAAATTCAAGTTTATATCAACGACCCCACAGCCTTAACCCATTCGGAAAGAGTATCTACTTCTTTTTGTCACGTTAAGCCCATTACCTGGGCTAATACTCGACTGAATCCTTCAGTATTTTGAAGTAGTGTTTCCAACTGATGGATTTAAAAAAAGCTAACCATATTGCAGGCCTTTGGATAACACATTTCTAAGAGAAGAGTTATTGACAATGTTAAGTCCACGTGACTAGCCGGACTATATATGACTTGGGAACTAGCACAGGTGCAGGCAGGAAGTTTAGACTTAAAGTCGTCTATATTGAGATCCTACAAAACGTGTTTTAATTGAATATTTGAAGCACAATTGGTTTGGTATAGGTATAAAAGATGACAAGTACAGATTGATCTTTGAAGTTGATCGCTTTGTCAGCTTTGTACGATTTCAGGATGGTTTAAGCAAGTTGTCGGCATTCCTATTGGAACGAACTGTGCGGCTCTCCTTGCCGACCTCTTCTAATTTTATATGAGTCGGAATTCCGATCGGAGTAAAAAAAACAAGAAGATCAAAGAAGCCAGATCATTTAAGTTTACATTCAGATATATTGATGATGTTCTTTCTATTAATAATCCAAACTTTTCTGATTGGTTCCATTAATATATCCCCCAGAACTAGAAATTAAAGAAACGACACGACTTCCTCTGCCACATTTTTAGACTTATATCTTGAATTCGACATACGTGGCCATCTTAACACAAGAATCAGTGGCAAATAAAGGCAACAGTAGTATACCGCTTTTCGAAAGTCATAAATCGATTGAGAAAAAACAAACCCGGGTTACAAACTAAAACCGAGGGAAACACATCAACTATAAGAGGAAAACAACGAAACAACAGAAACACTGAAGTGAACAAAAAAAAAACGACAATGCAACACACACAGAAACGAACTATAAGATAACAACTGCCATTTTCCTGACTTGGTACAGGACATTTTAAGAAAAAATGGTGGGTTGAACCTGGTTTTGTGGCTAGCCAAACCTCGCGCTTTTATGGCAATGTTAAATATAACACTAAAATGACAACATTACATGACAGGAATACAGTACAAATAAATGCAGGAACATTCAGGACAGAGAAATACACAAATAAACAATATAATAGTACATTTCGACATGCTAACCTCTAAATAGTAATTAGATAATTATTTGTATTATCTAGCTATGTCGGTATTTCTTCTAAATCAAACTGTAAAACAATACATTGTGTACATATAGTTGCTTTAAACTAAAATCTTATAAATGAACTGGGTGATTAATTATCTTTACTTTTACATACGAATAGAAAATAAAATAATTAGAATTACAACTACAAACGATAAGACATTTAACAATATCCGTTCAGAATTACAAATACAACATCATAACTTAAGACAGGAATGTTGGATAAACAAATACCGTGACACGTCTTATAGAGATGCGAATTCACACACAGCAAAACAGTCATATTCGGGAATAGGTCATGTTCGGTACTTAAAAGACCAGACGACGTAAATGGTAAACCACAATCTAAGACGTGGTAAAAATGTCCTTAGTTAGTTTAGACACAGACACATCGTATGGATCAACCAATTCGTGATGGTGTCCATAAAATTTACGGAGTGTCATTTTTAATCTTTCCTCCTCATAACTTTTGTTGGAGCAGTTTCTGCGTAAGAAGCACACTCCTGTATATGAAGTCCGTATAGTGTGAACATGCACGAGCATAAAGTATCAACTGAGATATGTAAACATCATACAATGGGGCAGAGGGTATGTTACTGGTGAGAAATTGGAGAGGATTTTAATTTTGAAATTATAAATTTCCCCCACCTTAGCAGCAATATACCTGCATATTGGATATACATTTCCCAACTCATTAGGTATTCAAGAGCTTGCAGCTGCTACTCAGACTTTATAAAACATCACCAGTGTCTGAGCAGAAAGTTGATGAGCCAAGATTATGTTAAAGAACGTCTTGTACTTTTTCTTAAAAAGTTCATTGGAAAATACCGAG